GGAGAGTGACTCGTTGACCCTCCACAGGCTAACATTCTCTGTTGCCATGAGGTGGAAAGATTATATTGAATCAATTGCTAGTTCTGTTGCTAGGAAAGTTGGTTCACTACAGTAGCATGCAGAAGGTGGTGCAGAGGGTGCAATGGCCCTGGGCATCCATATCAGGAAGGCGTCCAATCAAAGAGTGAAATAAAAATTTAGTTTATATTTCATATGAATAAAGTGTTTATTACATGTTTTATCTGTTATTACATATTTAAAATATCTTCCTTTGTTACATTTCTCAGTATTAGGCCCTATAGCCCATCCCCCCACACACACATTTTAGTCTTAGGGGCATGCAATCAAGAAGTTCATGCTAGACAATTTTTCTCTCTGGAATCTATCTATATGTCTTCCAATCATCCATGCTTTGAATATTACAGCCATATATGGTCTGGTGCTCCTGCTATTTAGAGAGCCTTGATAAAATCCAAAGAAGAACTTGCAATATTATTGGTCTTGACCTGGCATTCCAGCTTCAGTAATTTTCTCACTGCCATAATGTAGCTTCCCTGTGCCTTTTCTATAAATATTTTCATAGTAATTGTTCTGATGAATGTACCTCTATGGTACTTAGACTTTATGAATTTAAGCACAGTACCAGATTGGCAACAAGGTCTCATCATTTTGCAGTTGAATTGACCAGATATCTGTGAGTTCTATGCTAACAGTTTCTTTTCTCACACTTCTTGTTTGTGGAACTCTTTTCTGGCTTCTTCCTTTCCAGCTAACTTTGATCTTCAAAAATGTAAATGCAATGTCAATTGTTATGCACAGTCTTCTTGATTCCTCTTCTTTTATTGTTCTTGCTCCTTAATAAGGTTTTTCTTTTTCTTATTTGTTTACACTTGGTAACCCGTTGTGTTTTAGTGCTTTATTGCCTTGCTCATGGGGTGAAATGATTAAAACAAAAGAAAATGTCTGGGGGCTAATTAAAAGATCAAAGATGAATAGGTTGATTGACTGAAAGGTTTGGGGACTTCTGACTTTTTTCCTTATTTCAAAGCAAAATCATAAACAGCTTAAATTGTATAACATTTAAATGTTGCAGATTATCCCCAGAAATATTTTAATTTACAGTAAAAATATTTTTCATGCTCCAAAGGATTTGACATTTTTCAAGATAAACAGAAAATGATAATCTTTTAAAAAATAAAATCAATTTTTAAAAACTGGAAAATCCTGGCAATATTATGGTTAGAAGAATTGTTCAAAAACCGGGCATTGATATTAATTATATTTATTTTGTTTACAATCTACTTCATTCTTCAATTATTTATGGTAATGCTAATATTAACCATTTCCTTATAAGGAAACATTTGCCATTCATTGTCTGAGCAGCCAATTCTACTGCCAGTTGAAATTTATAAAATCATTTTCTTAAAAGAATTGTTCAGGAAAATAAGTTTCTCAAGTCCAGTAGCTGTTATCATTCTTTCCAGTAGTGATAGGACTTTCCTTTTCAACCTTTTGTTTGGAGTATTGTGCAATGGCAACATCTTGGTTATGTCCTAATGGTTAAGTGTAAGAAATATCTACAAAATAATATTTTAGAAAACAAAGATAAAAATCACACAAGTAACAAATGCTTTGAAACATTAGCTGTTTGGTTTAATTCATGATAAAAAATGCCAAAAGAATTTAAGCAATAATATTGATTTTCTTTAAATTAAACTGAGATGTACACCTAGTATAGTGGTTATCAGTGTCAAAAGTGCAATTGGTGTGTCAGGTTCAAATTACAAACATCTTGGTTATGTTATGCACTTTCAGACAAAGAGTAATTTGGGAAAATGTGAATTCATTTCTAAAACCAGCTACCATACAAAATAAAAAAGAAGGTGGGCTTCAAGCAAAAGCTAATGTGATGACCAATTTTTAATTTTGCAAATTAGCCTATAAAAATGAAATCAAACAGATAAAGAAAAGTTGAAAATTAATTTTTTTTTACTTGTTTATATAATTTAAAATTATTTCAAAGCAAAATTAATTTTTCTACAAAAATTTGAATAAATGAAAATAGAATATGAATTTTTAAACAATTCAAAATGTAATTTAATCAAAAAAATCAATAACAATTAAATAATATTTTGGGATGTGCAAATTAATTTTTTCATTTGCCAAAAAAATCAATAAAAACGCCTTTTTTGGCATTAAATAACCAACAGAGTTGATGTGCTCTTAAAACAGAAGAGTTGGTCAAACAATCCTCTTCAAATTTCTTATATTTATCAGGTGGTCCAGGCTGAAGAAGGTTCACAATCAGCGTCTTACCAGAAGACATATATATCTTTGCTTTTTTTTCTCTCTGCAGTCTGTGATATATAATAACAATTATAGATAAACAATAAGAAAACTTTTGTAATTTAGCAAAAAAATGAAAAAACACTTTTCTTATTTTAAACTAAATACTATTCACTTTTTAATAACAATGCTGAACAAAGCATCATTTAATAAAAATGAAGATATAAGTAAACACAATTGAAAAATTAATAATAATGGTTGATAATGCTTCATCTAATAAAAAATGAAGATGAATTTATAAAAAACTATTTAAAATTTTAATAATTCATATGTATAAAGTTTTATCTAATAAAAATAAAGATGAAATATAAAACATAAGTACAAATTTTTTTTAATTCTTCATCTATTTGAACAAAAACCCAATTTACAAATTAAAATGTTAATCAGTGGAAAAGAAGGTACAGTTTATAGGGATGTATACAGAAAATAATAGTTTGTTTGAACCTGATTGAACAGGCCAATAGATTTTAATTGTTGGGGAAACATCTTTTTGGGAGTCAGTTCCAAAAAGCATCAATTTATGAGAAGAATCTGTTCTTTAAAAACTTACATCTGTTTTTAAATACAAAGGGAAGTATTGATTTTCTCTTCAATTTATATGGCATTAAATGTTTCATTAATAAAAAAAATTTCAGGGTAGAAAATGCAAATTTTTACCCCAAAAGGATGCAGACATACACATTTGGACTCTATTAGAGTATGAAATGAAGGCTATTCATTTCCTGAGAATATATTGGATAATACTACAATTTTCACAATATGATTTTTGTCTTATTTAAATAAAAAAATAGCAAGAGGAGTATCCAAATTTAAAAATAAATTTACAATAAACTATTTTATCAGTATCTTTGGTGATGGTTCATAACATGAGTTTTATTGAGGTCATAAATAAATGTTTTGGGTGTAAGTATGTGAAATAATTTGAAACAACCATTTATAGAAAATTATAATAATATTTTTAACAGATTTTATTTTACTTCAAATTATTTTTATGAAAAAGAAATATATTTTGTATCTTTTGTTGTGATAAATATCCAATGTTTAAATAAAAACTGCCAAATCCCATTACATGTTAAAATACCATCCATTTAAAATGCTCAAAGGTGACATTTCTTATTTGTTCAGATTCAATTGACCTAATTGCAATAATATGCCTGTTGAATGTGATAGATCATTTCTAATTCAACCCTTCTTTTTCATTATGTCTATAAAAACACTTCTAAGATAGTTACATTTATAGATTGATTTTGACATCTCCAATTTATAATTTGAATCCTGGGCTGTTTCTTTTGCTAATGATCATATATTCTAATTTCTTAAACATAATAGTTAATAAAAACATAATACTTTATTTTACTTTGTCATCAAAATTATATCATCTGCATATCTTATGTTGTTAAAATTTTCAACCAATAATAAACCTGGTATTTTCATTTAAAAAATGATCACCTTGATTTAAAGGTGAAATAAATCCAAAAGGAGATATAAATAACCTTTTATTTGAATGACCCATTTCTATTTTAGTATTTCATTTCTGAGATGATAATTGTCAATATTCTTGTATTATTAAAAAAATTATACATCTCATCAATATTTAATATAGATTTTATCATAGATACAAAATTTCGATTTTGTCAACCTCTGGTCATCATCAAGGTATCCATTGATACAAAAATATTCTTGATTAATGATATTTTTTGCCCTTTTTAACATCAGTAATTGTCCATTATTTAAATTAGTGCATCAATGCCAGATCCAGATATTGAACTCATAACCACTAGATGACACTAACATGAATAGAAACGATGCCACTGTCCCAAAGAACATTAGTGGTGTGTTTTTTGGAATCTTTTATATTCAGTGTCAGATGTTTTTTGACATTTGTATGATGGTGGGTTTTATATATTTTTTCATAATTTAGTATTTCATTTCTGAGATGAGCATTTGTCAATATTCTTGTATTATTTCAAACTATTGTTCTCATCTTGGTTGATAAAGATGTTATTATAGACACAACATTTTAACCAAGTACCCTCTGGCAGGGTCAACAAGTGCTACCTCCCGAACCCACTGGGGCCAAATCAGATAGTGCCCCCCACCCCTGGGCAATGATTTGACCATCACTATCTTATCAACATTGGCTTTTTTCTACCTACATTTATATACATTACAAATTAAACTAATGACAACTGACTATTAAAGGATGACAAATTTGTTGGGATTTTGACATCATTTTTCTTTTTTTTTTTTTTGTTCAAATCTGTGAATTTGTTTTGTTCATGCTAAATCTTGTAAAAAAAATACTATAAAAAATTCATTTTTTTTATCCATAATGCTGAATATTTTATTAGTATTTTTAACCAAAATGTTGAATGTTAAAATTATTCAACATTTTTTAATTTAAAAAAATCTCAAGTTGATGTTAAAAATTGTATTTGCAAAACATTGTTGATTTATTTAAGATGGAATGATCTATTATGACATGTCAATCTAATTTGTATTTTATATTGTATTTATTTTCAATTTTTCTAGTTGAATTGTTCATCCTATATTTCTATATGATAACAAATAGTACATAATTAGTTTTTTTAGTCAATCTCAAAAGAAAATTTGATATTTTATGGGAAGGCATAAACAATTCTTGGTGAATGGCTTATGTCCATATCATGTTGAAACACTGGTTCTCATATGATCATCAAAGTTAAGCAATGTTGAGCTTGGTCAGTACCTAGATGGGTGACTGTTTAGGAACACCAAATGCTGTAAACTTGGATGTGTGGGTTGGGTAAAGGGTAATGGATAATGGCTTGGAATTGTTAATCGAAGAAATGAGTTCCAATTCCAGTTGGATTCATTATATTCACTTATGTGCAAATATACTTGGGAAATGTAGGAATCCACTGCTTCTCCCCCAGCTATGGGTTAATTAGTAGGACTTGTATTAGTTAATCATTATTATCTCCAAAAATTTCTTACAGTGTAAAATATTTTCTGGCTTTAAATAAACTGAAAAAGGTTGATAACCTGTAAAAACAAATCTTTCTCTAAGGATCAAGTTGTAATGGTTAAAAAATCCAGTGAGAAGGTGCATCCTTGATTTACACCCCTTTCTATTTATTGGTAGCTTTAACAGTGTTAATGAATAACATTGGTATGAAGGTTTTCCTCTCTTGGTTAATTTCAAAAGTTATTTTGATAAATGCACTTGGGGAAGGCATGAACCATTTTTGGTGAATTAGAATTGTCAACAAATAAAAAACACTATCAAGAGTGCCATTATTCTGAAATTCCCAAAACAGAATATATCTAAATTACAGTAAAAATTTATTCATCTGAAACCCTCAAGATTTCCAAGTGAAGGAAAAGGAATATGAGCCAAACAAAGTGTATGCCTTGTGTCTGCCTTGTGGATGCAATCTACTTATTATTAACAGAGGTAGAGCCAAAGACAAGTTAATTATCTGTCAAGATCCCTTAAGAATACAAGTTATCCTGTTGGCATGATCATTATGTTCTCTTTCAGGATTCCACATCAAATTCCCTGTGTCTGCATTCTCAGCCTATAACCAAGCTGTCTGTCTTGTAAAGATCTGTCAATATAAACAGGCACCATATTTAAGCTGTCAGCAAATTATCTCCTCCCTTGATTTAGTTCTATCCATATATCTTTATACTATCTATACATTTAATTTTATATATATATATATATATATATATATATATATATATATAATATAAATCTTTATATATATATATATATATATTCATATATTTGTATGTGTGTATATATGCATATTTGTGTGTATATATATATATATATATATAAAACACAAAAATTTAAAATATAAATAAATAAACACATGTTATATTTAAATATATATATAAATAAATATATATATATATATATATATACAACACAAATATATATTATATATGCCTATGTTGTACATTATCAATGTGTTTAAAATGTATATATCTTTTATATGTAAAAATAGAATATATATATATATATATATATATATATGTTGTCATTTTGGAATAATGTGAAAAAATGTGTGTGAATACATATGTGTGTGTGTATGTATAATGGATATATGTATATATATAATACATAAAAGGTTAATGGTTTTAGTTGAATCAATCAGGAAAACAAATTTTTTTTTTGTATATATATATATATATATATATATATATATATATATATATATATATATATATATATATATTTGTCATTATGTGAATGTGTGTAAACATATATATATATATATATATATATATATATATATATATATATATATATATATGTGTGTAAATATGTGAATGTGTTATCAATATATATATAAAATTAAAACAATTTTTTATATATATATATATATATATCTTAAACATACAAATGCATACACATTATTTTATTTTTCTTGCAATTGTAGATAATGTGTAAGAACTGTCCAAGTAAGCACTCAGATCCAAAGATCATGACAAATCAGTTCTTACAACTCTATGAAAATAAAAAAAAGAAATCTCTTACCAAATAAAATTCAAGAAAAATACAAAAAAAATATTTAATGATCTTCATATGCATTGTCAGTCATATTCAATGAAACATCTATAAAAAGGGCCTGCTTTAAATCCCAGTAAAGAAAAGCATGCTCTCTGGAAATAATAAATATGTCAGATTAAAAATATATTCATTAATTCTTTATATATGAACAGCATGCGATGGATAAATTGTCATCTAAATTACGATAAAATAAAAATAACAATGACATCTCATTTTAACAGATATATTTACCAAAATCACACAAAAATATCTTGAAATATGAAAGAGTAAATTTATTCAATAAAATTGCCATTGGCTTCAAGCATGGACTCCAGACAATTTTGGAAATATCCTGCATCTCATCTGGACAGTCACACTGTTTAAGTTGGTGAATGTTGCCAAATTTCTTACCTTCATTTCAATTTTTGGTGTTACAAGGAGTTTTGTTGGTCTCTTGCTCAACTGCTTTATATACATAATATAATCCATATGTTGCAGTATGGGAATTTATGTGGCCAAATATAAGGGATGATGTGGTTGCAGAAATTGTCTGACAGCCATGACTGATTTTCCTGCTTACATGCATGATATTAGAAGTCCACTTGCCTGACATAGGTTCTTCCAGCAGCCACCCTCTTGACCCAGGCCAGCACTACCTAATGAAGGCATTTTTTACTTACTGTTGGATTAATTTACATTTATTATTTAAGAAATTAAGTATATAATTTAATTTCCTTAAATTTGCATTATTTTATCTTCATTCTAAAAAACAAATTTTTTTCAGTGCAAAATTGACAAAAAATTGTCATTATTCAAAATCTTACTCACAGTTATTTTCCTCTGTGATATTGTTATTCATGACAATGAATATATTGATTATAAAATTTAATTTTTTAATAATTTGTATTTTTTTAAGGTATTTTAAAAAGTTATGTTAACGGATTTTTATTTATTAACAAATTTTTATTACTTTAAATGTGAATTTTTTTTTTAGTGGATAATCATATTCTTGTGGATGCTATATTTAAAAAAAATAAAAACAATATTTTATTTCACCTACTGGCCTGAAACAATAAAAAACATATATATATATATATATATATATATATATATATATATATATATAGAAAAAATTGCTATATTTATTTATTTTAGGAACAGTATCCAATTTATCATAGAGAGGGCATTTAGAGATTTAGACAGTGAGGACATTTTTCCCCCTCTTTCACTCAACTCCTTTCTAATCCACACACTTAATGCCTTTTGACATCCACTAAGGAATAGAGCCATTTTCTCTGTTTATTGCAAAAAAGGTTTTCGTTTTAAATCTTCATATAGCATTTATAAATATCCACACTATCTACCTATATATCTATATGTATTTGTGTGTGAGGAAAATCAACAGTTATATATATAGATATATATATATAATTTATTAAAAAATTATGACATAAATATGTTATAAAATCACTACAAAAATAGCCATTTTGTTTCAACACTTCTGGTGTCTTATCAAGTGATGGTGTTGAATGTAGAATAAAGGGTTTTTATAAAACATCTAAATTCTTGTATTGAACACTCTTTTTAATTTTAGTATTTTTTGGTTATTGGAATTTTTTTCGTTAACCAAAAATATACTTGGATATATATAATATATATATATATAATATCATTCCTCACCAATAAAATTAATAATACATTTATATATATATATATATATATATATATATCAATCAAAAGGCAAAAAAACCACATTAGACACAAGAAGTTTATTTGATTTTTAAAAGTTAGAAACAAGAATTTTGCAGTTAAGCAAGAATTTGGAAAAGTAATCAGGAAGACAGCAGTCACAGTGATTGACATTACATTAAAATTTTTTGCAGAGTTGGCTGGAAAGCACATGGTTTTTAAGAAGGGAGTTCCACAAATGAATAGTGAGAAAATTGAAACTGTTAGCATAGATAGAATTTACAGTTACATCTATGCCAGCTCAACTGTAAATTGGTGAGACCTCATCACCAGTCTAGTACTCTGCTTGAATTTGAAGAATCTAGGCACCATATTGAAAAGCTTACCCAAACCATTGCCATGAAAGTATTTATAGAAAGAAATACCAGGAGACATTTTACAGCAAATTGAAACTCTTAAAGAAAGTAAACAGATCGGGCTCAGTAATATTGCTGATTCTTCTTCAGATTTTATCAAGGAGCTCTTAATAGATAGAAGCTGTGGACCATATGTGGCCATAATATTCAAAGCATGGATGATTGTACTTATAAATATGTAAGATAGATGCTGGAGAGAAAAATCATCTAGCACAATACATTAAACCAATATTCCTAGCCATTGACTTAGCAATGAATTCAATATAGTCTTTCCATTTCATGTCAGCTGAAAATGTTAACCCAGGATGATTAATAGAGAGCAGTTTAGTTTTGGAAGCATTAAAATTAAGTCATTTTTATATCAGATTAAAAATTAAATCCATTTTACTTTGCTTTGTATATGAATAAGAAAATAGAATTAACACATATGGGCTTTCAACAGATATGGGCTATCAAGGTGATCTGAATAAGATGTGCATTCTTTAAAAGGGTAGTTGAATCTTGTTTGGCTGGGAAGCTGTCTGTAGCTAAGTTGTCTAAAACATGCCAGATCAGATGGCGATTTCTCTTTGCAAAGTGGAACACAGGTTTTAATCCTAACAGGGGACATATTTTCTTTAGTAAGATTCTCAAATGCACAGACTTTGTAGATGTAATTAACACTTTTTAAGAAACAATGCATCTATAAAAATATAAGATTTCAGTAAATATATATATATATAATATATATATATATATATATATATATATATATATATATATATAAAAAAAACCTCTTATTTTCTGATTATTTTTGTCTGGAAAGGCTGCTAGCCAATCCTTATTTAAATGCTTTTTTTTTTTTAAACACCATTTTGCCAACCTGTGGTTTATACTGTAACTGTTTCCAAAGGGATTTATAAGTATTTTTGAATGCCACCACAAATGAATTGACAATATTGAAGAAATTCTTTCCAGTCAGTTTCATCAAAAGGCTTGGATCAACTCATAACATGGTTTTTAGACTCTTTCCAAATATACAAGAAGAAGTCACTTTCCTGACGGTTGCACATGAATAAATTTGAAACAGGGTCTCATGGTTGAAAAGCAAATATTCTAACAAAGTGGCCATGTGCCCATAT